ATCTCGGTGGGACTCGAACCCACCATCTTTGGTTCCGAAGACCAACGCCTTATCCATTAGGCCACGAGACCAACGAGTTTGAGATTTATCCCACTATCTCGTCACTACGCGCAACACTGACTTAACGGCACACATGATTTCGCATTCGAGACGCTGAATAGATCACAAAACTCTTGCTCCTCATAGAGGGGCCTCCATTACATAGTGTTTTCAATGAGGTCAATTCATTGGAGATCGTTCGTTGGCAGACCAACAATCTTCTTGTACCCTTAGCCTCAGCATGTATCCCGACGAGTCACAAGGGTATACAATCAACATCGACATCTGTAAGGCCAGTGGCATCCGTATATGGGCGCTTCCCGGCGTGGAGACGATCTCGATGGGACTCGAACCCATAGTCTTTGGTTCCGAAGACCAACGCCTTATCCATTAGGCCACGAGACCAATAAAGTTGAGATTTATCCCACCATCTCTTTACTACGCGCAACATTGACTATGCCTTTTTCACTGTTCACTGATCATGTCCCTCCTCACACATAGTTTCTCATCCAACACTCGGAATAGATCACAGAACTCTTGCTGTTCGTCGAGGAGCTGCCGGACCTGAGTCCCTGTAGATGAAACCCGACTCGGCACAACTCCAGCACGGGGGTGGTAACTTGTTCGCTGCTGGTAGCTTACTTGGCGAAGTGTGAGATCCTCAGCGTCTTTGACTTGTGACGCGATCCCAGGCTTCCTGTCTTTCAGAAGAGGTCTGATGTCCCGATCGAGAACCACGCCCCAGTCCAGACAGATGTCAGGCCCTGAGTCCGGGTGTGGGAAGCTGAATGGGAGGGTCGATCATTGCCGTAGGATCCCGCCGGCGCTCACCCTTGCTGCTCGAGAGCCGCCCTACACTTAGAGCGATATTCATCGGCCCCCTGGCCTGGGGTCAGCCCGGCTATGCTGGTATGCGTGACGCTAGTCACGAATGCTACTGCAGAGGTGAGCATTGTGAAGTAGTAACCGTCTTCACCCGAGGACAGTCGTTGAGGAGGCCTGCAACCCAACTCCCGAATAATGCTGCTTTCCGCTCACCCACCTGAAGGCTTGTATAAAATTGATGTTGCTTCTTAGTCGAGAAGGCCTAGCCTTGATGAGTACCCAAATAAGTATCGGCAAGATGTCATCCGCAGATCCTCCATCACTTGATTCAAGCGTACGCGTAATCACCCGACAGCAGTTGAGCAAGCACACCAGCTTGTCTCGAGGAGCACGGTACTTAGACTGTGACACCAGATGTGTAGGACTACTCTATTGAGGTTACCATCAAGGCAAGCTGTTTGACAGCCATATCTAGCTCATCCTCATCGATCTTGGGCCCCTCGAGATGTCGAGTGAGGGACAGCCAGTTGAGAGCAGCGAGCTTCCTATCCAACGCTGCATCCGCCTGACCACGGAGACTTGCCCCTGATCAGTGCCACCAGCAGTCTCTACATCCCTGTCCCGGGGGTCCACATCGAACAACAGACGGCGGGGCTCTCGGGCCGCCTCTTGCTCGTCAGCGGAGACGGGGGCATCCATCTCCAGGACGACAAACTTCTCCAATGCCTCACATGCATCATGCCTCCTATCCGGGCCAGCCTTGTCCAGGGGTGGCGAGGCAAGGAGCCCACTCTAAGTAGTTCATCTTAGATGATGGGCGCAACACTTTCGCTACTTCAAGTGATGAGAGGAATTTGTGCAGCATCCTGCTAGCCCGCTGCCTCGACAAGCCTCTTTCCTCCGACGGGGGCCACTTCCGCTTCAACGAGGCTACCCTCTCGAACCTATTACAGTCACTATGATAGCCAGTCGCTGATAGCTCTACCTACACCAGCTTGCGTCCTAGGGTAGGATGCTCATGCAGGAGATCTAGGAAGGCCTTGAAGCCCAGAGGATCTGAGTACTACACCTAGACCCCTCCCCGGGGGCTCATCAGTTAGCCCAGTCTCTGGTACGACCTTCACGCCGCGCCCGTTGTTTATACCCTTACCATTGTTTATCTCCTCATTCTCCTTCACTGGTACCTCTTCACTTCTCCTATGCCTCATCCAAGCTACAGGTTGCTGCACTCTATTCAACACACCACTGAGTATCCCTCCCCTGCCTCCTCCTCCTTCTTCCCTCTCGGGTGAGCAACAGGCAGCAGCATCCACTGTAGAGCTAGCCACAGTGAGGTCCACTATTCTAGGACCAACTCCCTCCTCACTGCTTCCCTCAGTCACTGCAGGAGCTTCGTTGATCAATAGATCAACATCATCTTCTTCATCATCCTCATCAGCCAATATAGCATCCACCTTGGAAATCGCGGCTGAGGATACGACCGGTTCATCCTCCTCCTCCCCTGCTGTTGGTGAGGTCATTATGCAGTGAGCTACTCCACCATTGCTACCACATTGACCACGCTACACCAAAGGCACTTAACTCACTCAGCAGAAAAGTCTTTAGGGATGGGCAGCAGCATCACGAGAAACAAGTATGCTGACTAGAAATCGAGGTCGTCATCATCATCCAGATCCGACCCATCGAGCTCCAACAACTGGGCCAACTCGTCGGCGTCGTTACTTGCGTTGTTGTTGCTCTTCAGCTGAAGTAGAGAAATAGAGAGTAATCAGAAGGTCTCCGGTTCTACCCCGGCAACTTACCATAGAAGTATCAGCATATTGCATAGCTTTGACCGTCTCCGTATGTAGTTGCAAACAGAAGGCTATACGCTTGTGTAAGTGTCGTTGCGGGCTCGAACCAGAGTACCCGTCAGTGCTCCACGACGACTGCATGAAGCTGAGCAACATTAAGAATAGATAACCCCTAGGCATCACAGTGGACCTACTCCCCATCATCATCAATAGTGGCGTCAATAACACCATCAGCAATGGCCTTACTAACAACTCCAGCGGCCTCTTCTCGACTATTCAAGCCAAGCTTCTGCATCACCTCCTCCTAATACCACCACCACCATCAGCAGCAGTGATAACCCCCCTTCAGACTCACCATAGGGACCTTGCTATAGCTAAGGTTGATGCCACGAAGGCCAGCCTTTATAACATTGTGGTGGAGTCGGCCAATCAAGCTGAGTGTGCCATCCTTACGCAGCTCGCTACAGTGAGCTTCCACGATGCTTTCAAACTCGTTGACCGATCCCCTACAGAGAATACATCATCCAA